TCTCTTTTCGTGCTAGCTCGGCGTTTTCGTGCTAGATTCACATCGATATTTAAATAGTAGAATAAACATTAATATCATATTAATACAATCCTCAACGAACAATTTTTATCTGTGTAAGTCATTATTATTTCATATATAAATAGTAACTTCTTGTTTTTGTGTTAAGGATATTTAAATAAAAACAATGAAAATTATACTAGCAGTTTTAGTCTTAACTGTTTTTGTTGCAGCAGTAGTTGACTCAAGAAGATTATCTTATTCAAGAAGATTATCTAATTTAAATTTAAATAGTGAAGAAAAAGAACTTTTACTTCAAATTCGTGCAGCATTACAATTAAAGTATGTATCACACTTATGCAAAAATCTAATCTATTCTCTTATTATTCTAGTTCTAGTTGTAATGCAATCACATATAGTTTGAATCAAACAGCAATTAACACATATGATGATAAAAGTTATCAATGCCCAGATGTAACACTATCTAAAAGTGGTTATTGTATTCTTCTAATAAATGATGCAATTAAACGATGTAATGCTGATCCAAAATGTAGTGGTTATGCAATGACAGATATGTTAGATTGGCAAGATCAGTCTGATGTTGCTGTTCAATTATTTACTACTACAACAAGCCCAACTAGTAGACCAGCAAAACCCAATCGATGGTTTATTTTTCAGAAAACATGTTGGAAATTTTATTAATCCCTAGAAATATCATTATTTTATGGTGATTAATAACTTCAATAAGACATTCAAAGAAAACGTTTACCGTACTTTTTTTTTCTTTTAACCTTTTTTCTTTATCATATTATTTATATTCAATTTATTTAAGAGTGACAACAATTTTCTTTTCTTTTTGCCATTATTTCAAAGTAGTTAGTTTTCATATTAATAAACTATTTATCAATAGATAGAACATTTTATTTACATTTATACAATAATAATAATAAGACAAATATAAAAAGATGAAGCGATTTATATTAATGTCAGACGTAGTAAAAGTAATTATTAATTATACTGGAATGAAAATAAATGAGATGAAATAAAATTTAAAATTAGACTGACGCTTCTGACTCTTTCACGAGTCATTTACAGTAGTAATTGCAATTGGTTCTCTATGTTACACCAGTTATGATGTTGTTGATGATGATAACAAGTATGTAAGTAAAGTTAGCAACTGATTCGAATATTTTTGAGCTTAATTCGCTCAATGACTTGTGTTAGTTATAAAATGTGGTGTACCAAATAGAACTCGATGAGCTCTATCAAACGTCCTCAAAGTCGAAAAGTTACTTGCAGCATACAGTGAAATTTCTTAAATATCTTTATGTATAAATATACCTTTCTATTACTAGTATCAACTAGTGTATTTCAAATGATATCTTCAAACACAACATATACCTGTATTTTTATCTCAACATAAATATTGTATTAATGACTTTTCCCATGAAATGAAAAATAACGAAGATGTTACCTTGTAGGAATAGCGAAAAGAGTATGAGTAGAAAAACAACATAGATCTCTATTTAAGGTAATCGATTCTTCTTTTCGAAGATCTACAGACATGGTACTAAATGCTTTTCTTTCTATCTTTTTATATTCACACAATCGTTATTTCTAATCATACTGATGTCGTATATGATAATCTGAATATAGAAATTATTCTTTTGATGATATTTAATCAAGTTGTACTTCTCATTGTTTACAGATAATCCTTCATGCAACATGATATAACAATTTTAGATGGATTTTCATTTAATATGTTATGAAAAGTTAAATAAAATCAAATCAAAGTTATTTGGGTATGTGCAGTAGATTCTTCCATGAAACTTTTTAGCAGTATCGCTACTTTAAAGTTTTATTATTGAAGACGATATTTTTGTCTTTCGATTAGTAATTAAAATAAGTCGAAAATAATTATATATCAATATTTGTATTTAATGTCGTAGGATTGTTGGTAATTGATTCTAAAAAAGCACGTAAAGAACATCAATGAAATGAAAAAGAAATAGATTTAAATCGAACCATCATTTAATGCTTTTACTGCAGACAACACCGCATCATGTGTTGTTACATAAATTATATGAAATTCTGTTTTGTCATAAAATTTCATTGAATCTAGTGTATGACGAACTTCATCTGAAGATAAAAAAAAGACTTTCAATAAATACACTAAATACTCAAATATTGTAACTTACATCGACATTCACTTAGATATAATGTAATACCTCGTTTTTTCAAATCATTGAATATCTAAAATACATTAGATAAAAGAAAAAGATCGAATTTTTCTTATATAATTTATATGTACTTGAATCAGTAATTTAACACCAACAGTATCAATATAATTAAATGGTGAACATTCTAAAATAACATATTTATACATTAATTTCTTTTGATTATTATTGTTTTTATTTTTTCCGCAAGAAATAATTGGTAGTTGTGTGAGTTGAATATCAATAAGATCATAAAATTTTCTTTTGAAAAATGGAGCATTAGGTCTACTGCTATGAAGTATACCTCAGTAAACAGTCTTTTATATAAACGAAAAAAATGGTGCCGATTATTTAGTATAGTTTCTACACTATCTAGTCAGATTTGATCTACATCACAAAAATCAGCATGTTATCATTTTAGTTTCTGTTATTTAACTTTTTCTAATATAACGTAAATATTTTTCTTTATCTCATCTTTTAAAAGTATAGATATTGTTGAATGTAATAAATGTAAATAATTTTTTAATATTTCTTTTATAAATATACAATATATATTAGTCAAATAAACACAAAAAGAAACGAAGATTTCTTATTTTACAAACGAAAAGACAAACTCCATAGATTATTATCGTTTCTCTAGAAAATCCAAAGTTGCCATTATATCACTGTTAAGTGTATGATTTAAAGAGCTTGTACTCGTGCATAATACAAATTAGAACTCGTAAGTGATGCAAGATCCGATGAAAGAGTAGGTCCATATCGATGTTGTTGATATTGTCTCGTAATTGGTATTGAATCAACACTATTCGCAATATAATCATTACTTGTTCGAGTGGTTGTCGATGGAACTGTAGGACCATTATGATGTATTAAAGGTTGTCGAGGTTTTACAGAAGATTTTAGACCATCGGTGGAATGTGAATGATGGCTATGATGATGCTTATCTTTGCGACGACGATGACGACAACAAAAAAGAAAAAATAGAATAACACCAAGTACACAAAGAGGTACGATAATCAGATAAAGTAAATGATTATTAAGATTTGCTGAAGATGTCACACCTAAAGCACAAAAACAAAAAGAGAATTAATCTTTTTATAACAAATGAAACATGTCAAATATTTGCAAGTATTCAGAAAAATACAGGCATAGTAGAAGAATATCAAAAAACTAATGCCTTGCATAAGTTTTCTCAAAAATTTATTCTCTTCTTCTTTCTTACCATAATGATTATCAATAACATTAATAAAAACTTTCTTATAATTAGTAGCTTTATCATTTTGAATTAAACAAATATATTGCCCATTATCTTTATTAGTAACTTGTGAAATTATTAGTGGTCTTGATAAAATATTTTTCGAATATTGTTGTAATTGTTGTTCTTGAAATTGTTCAACATTTTCGTATTGTTCAGAACCAAATACAATAGCATCAGGTCGAAATAATTGTTGAATATTAATCTTTTTTAACCATTGAATTTTTGTTGTTGGATCATTTGTTTGAACACGACAATTTAACATTGCTGTTTTATCTACATCAACACTTGTATTTTGAGGATCTTCGCCATAAAATTGTAATTTTTCTAAAAATAAAAAAAGTATTTTAAAAGAGCAAGATTTCTTCTATACGTTACCTGTGACAGCAAGAATGTATGTAGCATTAATAGCACCAAATGAATTGAATAGTTCACATGTATAATTACCCGTATCTGATTGACGTAAATCTTTAATAATTAATATCTGACTTCTACAAAACATAATATGATTTAATGAAGTGAAAACCAAAAAAATAATTCAAATTTACTGTGTAACACCATATTCATCTTCTGATAATATTTTACCATTTTTTTTCCATCGTATTTCAGGTAATGGTTTACCAGATGCTAAACATTTTAATTGTACAGTTGTACCTTCTGGTTGAATAACTTTAGTCGGTCCTGTTTGATCATCATCACTTCGTGAAACAAATTCAGGTGCTTCTAGAAGAACAAAAGAAATTAATAAAATTCAATGAATACAAATAAAACATACCTCCATGTAATGAATCTGCTTCCCATGGCATTGCATTTTGTGGTTCATTATTATCAACATTAGTTGATATTGTTCCATTTGCTATTATAGAAAAATATATTATTTAATTAATTCATTACAAACGAATATATCAAGACTACTTACATTTAATATTTATTCGAAATTGTACTTGTATACTACCAAAACCATTGACAACATTACATTTATACAAACCAGCATCGGTTAAATGTGCTTGTTGTATTTTTAATAAGAATCGTTTGATAATTAAATTTGATGATGACCACATTGAATCTAAATCTTCATTATTTTTTGACCATTGAATCGATAAATCAGGACTATTCGTAACTGGACATTGTAATTCAATGGAATCATTTTCATTTATATCTAATGTATTGAAATTAGTTGTATTTGGTAAAAGAGTCGGCGGACCTAAAAAGAAAACATTTAGATTAACTTTTATGATAAAAATGCAATAAAATTCAAGTTTTTGCTGATTTCTCAATTTAGAAAACATTTCTCGTAGAGCAATTAGAATAACTATGTTAATTTTGAATGAACACTTTGAACTTTTTATTAAGATACATTATAATCGATTTGTATATATTATAACAGACATTTGTTCAACTAACTTGATAATAAACAACTCAATTATCAATATTTTAAGACAAATCTAAATCGTTTTCTTTTTGTTTTATCAAAGAATACATACCACGCGCAATTATATGTTCGGCAAAAAACAATAAGACAAGAAGAATAAATTGATTCATTTGAAAATTAAGAAGAATCTAAAATATATATAATAAAAACAGTCTATTTTCAAACAAGGATCTATTGAGACAATCTTTTCGAATAATAAATACAAGTGCTCAATGAAACAATTACAATTTTTAATTAGCATATGAAATTGTAATAAAATAAGAGGAATCAATATGATGAGAAGTTCATAGAATATACTCCATCATTTAGGATTGATAACTACACACAATCTATTATCAGTTATCTATCCATGACGAAGACTACGCAATAAATAGAAAGATTGTAATCTTATGTCTGCTTATATTATCTTTCCATTCCACACCCATACAGATAAACTTCTATCTATACACAATCATCAAGTTAGAAGATATTGCATCAGAATTTCTTACTTTAATCCATTTGAACGTTTTAGTTAACGTTGTATACAAAAATAAATATATCGAATATAGTAAACTCTCATATTCTTCAATTCATCATAGACTGGACAGCAAAAGTGTGTGTGTACAGGCGTGCACTCGTCAAAAGCATATAACCTTAAATGAATAGGCTCATTCATCATCATCTATTCGTACAATGTTCATGGTTCAGCTACATGTGTGTGTGCATGAGAAAAAAAAGATCAAGAAACAAAAGGGCATCTGTATATTTATTTGGATGATGTCTGCCTATTCAGAATCAATGGAGGAAAAAACTTCTGATGCAATGGTCTATCTCAATTGAACAACAAATGAAAGATCAAATAATATTCGCATACGTAAACATTTTTCACTTATCATTCTTTTTTTTTCAATTTAACAATCCTATATAAATGTCAGTAATTCACATACATATATATATATAGCTAGTTATAGATTGCTTGTGAAACGTGAGAGAGCATAGATATCAATCACATATGTACGTAAATCAAAATCATTGATAAGAAAAAATTTTTATCATCAGCTGTTCAAATTCATCTCTTATCGTTTAACATGAATATAAAGGAAATACACTTACTTGCATATCAACTGCTTTTTCTTGTTATTAAAATAGAATAAAAAAAGAAGAAACCACTCTAATAATTGACCGCTTGTGTTAGACCACTATCGAAGTGTGAAATTGCCTTAGTCGTTTGGATATCGACCTACAATATGTTATTGATAATGATGATGATCATCATAATCATCGACCAAGTCTATGTGAATGTTTAATGATGGAAGAAGACAACGACGACAACGATCAACAAGTGGACGCGTATAGTGACGAGGATACGTAGCAGCTATAGACAGTGAAGAAGAGAAGAGGAAAAAATAGAGAACGAACATATACATATATATATATATACATATTCACACATAAATCGAAAGAAAAAGAATTGTATAGCAGCAAATCAATCAGAATGAAAAGAGAGGGAGAGAAAAAGAAGAAGAAGAAGAAAAGTGACAGACGAGTACTAATTTGCAGATAGAGAAGCGAGATCTGGCTACTATCATGGGAAGAGCCTGTTAACAAACTCGCTTATATTACTAGAAAGAAAGACAGAGACAGAGACAGAGAGGTTTATATGGTGGCAATCATCTAATGAATATGATGATGAGATACTCCGAATAAAAATGAATGCGTGTTAAAAATGAATTTTTAATCTCATTGTCTTTTCGGCTACAGCTTCTTTTTTACTCACGCACATGCATACATTCAATAGTTGCTTATCATCTTCATCAAACTATCAAAAAAAATGGGTGGTCGGCAATTATTGACAACACACAACGAACGACAGGAAGCCGAAGATTATTTTATTATAATCATCATTCATTCATCCACATCCAAGTGATCAACGAATGAGATGTACAGATGCGTGACATACTAATATCTACCTGTATGTGGATAATTCGAAAGTATTTTTTTTTATTTAGATCGATATAGATAACTTAATTGTTTTTGAATAAACTTACAAATCCCTTTTTATTATTTACGAATAATATCTAAATAATTTGCACATAATGTTCTATAATTTTATATTCAAATTGAAAGTTTTCTTCTTTCATCAACAATCTCTACTTATTGACAGTTACACTATTTATTATTTGCTATTGCCTGCTTTTTCTTCTTTAATCATTACGGTTAATCCCTTCCTACATTATTTTACAACGGTACAATGAAATTCGAGTCGCTTTGATCTGTTCAATCACATAGTGTGATCCTAATATCTTGAGTATACATTGATGCAATGCTCTCTCTTTTTGTTTTATTCTTTATTTCAAGTGTTACTGTTCACTAGTCATACATTATATGTTTATAGAATGCATAGAGAACAAAAAAAATGAAAAAATTCATGATTATTTTTTCAAGTGTTGTCTATATATACCGTTCATATCGTATTCATATATATATATATAAACTGTTAGAAA